AAAAATTCGTCAGCCCCCCCCCCCCCCTAATCACCCCCCCCCCTCGAATATGTATTTAATAATTAATAAATCCTAATTAAGGCATGGCTAATGTTTGTAATCATGAAATTGACAGGCCTCACCTGCACTGACACTGAAACACTTCACGGGGAGTTAAGTTTGAGTGAATCATAGATATCACAGCAAATACGCCCAGTCCTTATCTTCAGCAGCCAGCGAGCGAAGAGTTCCAATTCCGATAGTACCAGTCTGATTAGACGTCCGTCTTGCCTTACCTCTGAGTGTAGAGTGTCGGCTAGATCCCCCTCCTCCTTTCTCTCTACACTGTAGTAGTCATCCAATTGGGCTTCTCCAGTGTTCACTCGTCGTGACTAAATCCAGCTCGCCATGCATCAACTTACCCCCCAGTAGTGCAGAACCAGCCGTTTTGTCTGGCTATTCATTTCCAGCACACGTGCATACTGGAGAAAATATCCAAATGTCGCTAACTGCCGTGGACGACTGAATCGATAGTTGCCACTTTTAATGAAACGTGTATTTTTAAGCTTATGCTACAAATAGGCACGCTAAACAACATCAACAAATCAGTACTGACATTTTTCGGAATATATACGATTAAAATAATACGGAAAAAAAAAAATATATTAAATAGTGCAAATTCCCGGGTTTCGGGGTCCCACTGTGGGGAAAACAAAATAGACCCCCCCCCCCCCCCCCCGCCCCACCTCCAACAAACATGTCGTAGGAGGAGACTAATTGGGGACTTTCTTCAAAATCGGAGTGCATTTGCCCGAGCGGCAAGGAACAACTAACTCAACCCAAATGAGTCAGTAAAACAGCTGTACATGCAAAACTTCTATCCTGGCAGAAAGCCAGTCTAAAAGGATAAAAAACCAGGACTTTTCCGCCGGAGCTCACAGCCCGTGAAAAAAAAAAAAAAAAAATGAAGAAGAATTCTGCAAATAATATATATTAAACCTAAGAAGGGAGAGAAATTTTACCAAAATGCGTCACAATAAATGCATTTAAAAGTATAGAGAAGAAGAAGAGATGCTGTAGACACAAAATGGTATGCGGGTGTAGATACCTTAAACTTAAAGGCTTCATAAAAAACTTGTCCAGCAGTTATGAGAGTCGTTGAGTTGAGTTGAGTCAAGAATTGACATCACAGCACTCAGGGCATTCTCATGCGTGCTCCGTCCTTATCTTCAGCAGCCAGCGCAGAGTTCCAATACTGATGGTACCGGTTACAACCTGGTTATATGTCCGTCTTGCCCTTTCTCTGAGTGTAGTGAGCCGGCCAGACCCTCTGGTTACACCCAGGTGCTTCATTATCTCCAGGCCATAATAATCTTGTTTCTCTACAAGATCTTCTTGATTCCGTTGCTTGTTCCCAAAGGGCCTTGACCACATCTGCCTTGTCATGTATCAATATACCACCCAGTAGTGCAGATCCAGCCAATCTGACTGCCTGTTCATTACCCACTACGCCGGCTTGGCCTGGAGAAAAGTTCTAAAATATGCTCACTATCTGTGACCTTGAGTTGTGGGAAAACAGATACAATGATATCTGCAGAAAAGACACGTCAAACATAGGGAGGTTAGAACCAAATGTGCAAAGTGCAAAGCTAGCAGCAATTTGACACGTAATCTTTGCTCTTTGCCAGCCTGTCATAGCCAGGGTTGACACTAATGCTAAAATAATGAACTCATGTTCAGACCAGATGATTTAAGTAAACTCTTAAACGCGCAAGCAAAATACTTACATATTTCTGTTCAAGCGATTTAAAAATATATCTGATTGCTGCAAGCTAGGCCAAGAAAACACTCCATAAGTCACGAAGTTAATTCAACAGTTTACATTTTCCTGTTAAATAACATCAAACAGAATTCCGTTAACCTGTCTAACCGAAAAACAAAAAAAGTATTTAATATTTCTAGGATGCATAAGGAAATGATAAATAAAGCTCATTTATGAAACGGTACACTGGCTGCACTAGGAAGGCCACGTCAGAACGATGTAAGCTTTTAGCTATGAGGCCTCTAAGGGAGAACGAACTACAGTTATTTTGAAATTGTTTACACACGCAGGTAGAGATTTCTGCTCTTTTGACCTCACTACTTTTATGCGTTTTATTATTAATATTTTTTTTTTTAAACAGGTGAAATCATCGGAAAGATATTGAATACAAACCATGGAGTGTGTTCGAATTATCCCTACATTACTAAATAATACTATTAACATAAAAAATGTATTAAATATAGAAGAAATATGCAAAATGCTTGATATTCGGTTATTTTTTAAGGAGTCACGACGCCTGTACTTAAATAATACTGATATAAATTTCCTTTTTTTTTCCTTCTCTCGAGATTCCGAGTAAAAGGAACATGTATAATAGCTCAAGCAAAAGTAAAATAAAGATGATTCTATGTAGATTACCTGTGTCAATTGAGATGAGAAAGACAATTCTCAGGAGATATATAAATCGCACCAGGTATGCGGAAGTGAATCATCGAAAGTTGGGCGATTAGTGACACCATTTTTGAAAGCTGCGCAGATGTGATTTTTGTAGACGAATGATACGAATATCCTGGACAATTAAAAGAGCAATGAAGATGCCTTGGAAAGAAACTGGATCACGAAGGAGACAATCTACATTCTTTGATCGTGCCAGGAGAAAACTGGCGTACGTCACGCCGGTGGGAAAGCTACAAGGGAAAAGAAGCAGAGGAAGACAGAGAGAGAGAGAGAGAGAGAGAGAGAGAGAGAGAGAGAGAGAGAGAGAGAGAGAGAGAGAGAGAGAAGAGAAGAGATATAAAATATCATCTGTGTCCAAAATAGTACTCGTGGTATTTTTTATACGTTGTAAAATCACAGTTCCTAAATTGAGAGAATTAAAAATAACCACGTATCCTCTTCGTTGTGACATAAATAAACCTAAATATTTGTTGGCAGTTTGTAGTTTTACCGGACCATTTTATATTCACTAGTTTGCCATGTCTTTCTCAACAGTCTGACGCTCAAACTATTTCCAGCATTAATACAAAACACGCAGCTATCAAATAACATGCAGCTAACTTAAATACTGGTATTTAATAATTGTGAAATTGCGTTTACAACATTTAAGCTTTAGACTTCGACTTAGGGATAAGGGTGAGAGATTGAGTTAGAGAGAAAGAGAGTGAATGAAAGAGAGAGAGAGAGAGAGAGAGAGAGAGAGAGAGAGAGAGAGAGAGAGAGAGAGAGAGAGAGAGAGAGAGAAAGAGCGAGAGAGTGAGAGAATTAATTTGCGTAATAAGTAGCCATTCCGACTTTCTGGGCGATAGTATTATACCGTATTATAAAGAGCATGAGACTCACAGCCCATGGTGATGGCGAGTGTGACTAGCAAGACCCGCCAGGATTAACACAGGAATTCCACAAATAGAGCACATGATTTCAGGACTGTTGTTGCCATCATATGTGTTTCTTCTCAGACCGTCAGCTTCCATCCTTTCTGCTATCATTTCTCCTTTATTTCTTATTACCTTCATGATTTAACCCCTCCACGCAAAACAGTCTATGGCATTCTGTTCCAAATAATCTATGTCAGTACCTGTACCTGATGTCCCGCTTGCACAAAGCTTTTTATCTTCTGTAATTCTCCATAAAGCATGTATTTAGGGACTCCGCCATCCTTCATTCTCCAAGTGTGACCCAGCCACCTGAGCCTTTGTAGGCTGAGTATTGCCAAAACGGTTGTAATACTTGCTCTTTTCAATACCTCAGTGTTTGCGATCTTGTGTTGCCAATTAGTGCCAAGTATTTTTCTTAGACATCGCATTTAACAGCTTTTTAACCGTTTCTCCTAATGCGAATAAGTTGATCACGTTTTACTGCTTTTAAGAAGGGTGCTAGGAACACAGGCCTGAGAGACAAGATTTGTTGTTTTAATCGTAAGCCTTCTGTTAATCTACTCATTGTTTTTGCTGCCATATCTATCCTAATGTTGTTATTTTGGTCCAGGGGTAATATATTATTCACTGTAGATCCTAACTATGCACCATCGATGCAGACTGCAGGTTTGTCATTAACACCTTGAGTGATACGCTTTGTCTTCGTTTTAACTCACAGTATGCATGAGCATATGCAGACAGTAAACATTGCATCTCCTCCTCTGAGAGGGTGGTCATTTCTGCATTAAGTGCAACAGCAGCTCTCTGATAAGTACCTTCTTATCCAGGTTTTCACTTTCAGACTCCCAAAAAAAATTGTAGAGGCAATCAATTCTCTTCGTGAGTCAGTTTCTTTCAAAACATCTTCATTACCTTTTTTTTTTTTTTAAATCTGTCCAGGATATTCTCAACTTTTGTCTATAAAACCACATCTCAGAAGCGCCCAAATGATCTTTCACTAATCTACCAACTGTCTATGATTCACTTTCGTAAATCAATATAAGATTTATATAGCTTTTAAGAATTCTCATTCTCGTTTCCATTTCCAAAGAAAGATTACATAAAATATTATTCACTTTGTAAAATGCTACCTTTGCTTGAACTAACATACATTTAATTTGTCCCATTTACTTTGATGCTACATTTTGGAGGGTCAGTTTTTGTATGTAATTACTATTACTACTGTCGTCCCCATATGGGATGCAATGTTTCGTTATTTGATGCCCTACCCTGGCTTTTGCCGGGGGCCCTGAATATAGCCGGGCTATGAATGAGGCCATAACTGCTGAAAAGGGTTTCCGGGACCTCTCCGCGGGTGATCCTCATCCGCATTGTGACATTTTGTGTCACCGGTTGTTTATCACTTTGTTTGATGTCCTTGTGGGGTACAGCCAGCAATTACCATTACTTCTGTTTTCTGCAGTTCAAACTAAGACCCCCCATGTCTCTTGTAGGGACAGATATTGTGTAGCATCCCGCAATGTCTAAGCCACAGACATTCTACTTACACATAGACTCCAGTGACTGCAGCTATCTCCAAGGTTATCACAGGAACAGCTGACAAAATGGCGGGTTGGCGTGCGCTACCAACGCACTGCCTTAGCCAACAGCTCAGCCTGTCACAGTTAATGGTGCTTATCAAAAACTCCTTCTTACCATCTAGAAAGATCCACACACAGGTAGTTTTCTTGTTGATGTTTGGCATGTTAGCCTAATTATCAGGAACAGTGTTTATTTGTCGATCTTCGTTCGTGTATCTAGTCTGCTGAAGCTATGACCTAGTTGTTTTTTTACTGTTGAGTACTGTGTTTTGGTCGAGCAGCCCTAGGAGAAATATTTCCCTAAAATGTTGAATGTTCAATCAAGAATCGACATCACAGTGCTCGGGACACTCCCGTAGTGCTCAGTCCCTATCTTCAACAGCAGGCGACAAGTTCCAATTCCGATGGTACTAGTAACCGTCTGATTTTGTATCGGTCTCATCCTTCCCTTGAGCGTAGACCAGAGTATCAGTATTTCCCTAGTATTAGTATTTGTCTGTGCTTGTAATTTCTTAGCAAACTTTTCCTTTCATCATGCACGTATTCTTCAGCTTCTTTTGTGATACAAAAAATAAGACAGAATTATTTGACAGGAAACGATGATAACAGTTGTCTAAACAACGACATTTTTTAATTAAAGTTATGATCACATTGGACAGATAGTGAAGAGAGTGGCCAGCGGGTGCTACGGAGGAGGGAAGTCCAACAGTTGATTCACTACAATTCTCGCCCAGGTGATCTCATTATCTATACAGATGGTTCAGCGCTGAGAGGAAAAAGAAGTGCCTGGGGTTCGTAGCCAAAGCCAATGGAAAATCATAAGTGCAAGACAGCCTAGCATACGACACCACAACATCTAACATGAGAATGGAGGCGGAGGCGGTAACTGCAGCTATCCGGTGGCTAGAGAACAAGATGCATACACATGTCGTAATAGTAACAGACTCTGAAAGCGTGCTGAGAAGGTGAAGACAGGGATTCTTCGAGCAGTGGCAAGCTTCACTGGGTAGAATTGAAAATACCAGTTCTTGCTTAGTTTAAGGGTTAGTATTAGAAGTCTTTATTGAGAACATTTTCATCATCATAAAGGGTTAGTATTAGAAGTCTTCATTGAGAACAGTTTCATCATCATAAAGGGTTAGTATTAGAAGTCTTTATTGAGAACAGTTTCATCATCATAAAGGGTTAGTATTAGAAGTCTTTATTGAGAACAGTTTCATCATCATAAAGGGTTAGTATTAGAAGTCTTCATTGAGAACAGTTTCATCATCAGCAATTTTGTCATCAGGATCGTTCTTATTAAAAATATAAGAGTAGTATTATAGCCTAGGGCGCCACTCTAGACAAGTCATTAGGGAATGGAATGACTTCAACCCTTTACATATTGTCTACAGGGAGGGAAGGAGGGGGTCGGGTGGTTTAAGCCTTGTTTAAGTGCATAATTATGTGTTTGCTGAATCGCAAATAAATATAATTTAATGAATAATATTTGAAATAGTATGAAATGCATAAGCTAATACTTAAATATGATAGTGACGAAAAAAGGGGTGGGGAGGGGGTACTAACTCTCCTAACACATTTTAAGAAAGGGGTGGTTGCTGTGCTGCCAGTTTTTGTGTCTAAGTATGTCTATAGCAATAATTTATGGCGTGTGATCTGGATGCACCTACATAGTGCTGCTGAATTGGAGGACAATAACGAAGGAAAGTCAAGTATTCAGTTCAGCTACTTGTGTCTTTCAGAAATGTTGAGACAGAGAAGTAGGTGACGATGACCTGCCAGCTGGGAAATGGATAGCAAATGAGGACAAGCATCCAACAGGGCACCACAGAGAGCAATGTTATACAGATACAGGGTAACAGAGCCAGAGGTCGACCACGTAGAAGATGAACCGCAGAAATATCAGAGACACTGAAAAGTACTTTATACAAAGCATGCAGAAAAGACCCGTTTCAGAGATCTCTTCATGTCCTGATGCTGCGAGGCTTTCCAGGAGTAGAGAAAAGAAGAAGAAGCAGCATGCAGAAATGATACATCACAGCACTCGGGGCATTCCCATACATGCTCTGTACTCATCTTCAGCAGCTAGCGCAGAGTTCCAATACTGATCGTAGCAGTCACAATCTGGTTATAAGTCTGTCTTGCCTTTCCTCTGAGTGCAGTAACTGGTTGCCTGGCAAAGAAGGAAGATTCGCCAATCAACTCCTACTGGGTTTGTTGAGCATGGAGACAAGGAGCTGGCTGCTGCATCAGAGGAGAGCACAAATGGTTCAGACTGATGTGCTAGGATGTCTATACTGATAATAATTATCAGGCACCTTCTTCATCACCTTCCCATGCAGTTTCCAGAAAAATTATCTGATGCTTACTTTGATTAGGTTTATTGATGATGATGATGGGAAAATGACATGCTGGTTTAAGTTCCAAGAAAACACAGCAAGGATGAGACCTTGTAAAAGATGGAACTGTGGCATCAAGAGTGACCTTAGGTCTTTCGATCCAAGATGGTTTAAAAGTAGAACTCCAGTTTGGCAACAATTACTGTGAAAATGTCATTAGTGTATGTCTTTGAAAGAAACCGCATATATGGTGCTGCATTTAAAAATATTTGGCCAGATTTCTTTTGCATATCCAGACCAAACATGAAATAAATAGTAATACACCATGTGTTGCAACATAACCTATGTCCCCATGATAGTTGCTCGGGACAGAAGGAGAAAAACAAAGACCAGTTTACACAAGATATTAGAAAAGTGATCCTTACAGCCCCCCCCCCCCTTCCCCCTCCCTCCCCAACCCTTTAACACTTTGCTGAGGTAACTGAAAGGGAAGAGAAGTTGGGGGGGGGGGGGAATAAAGAAATTTATTTATATGTTTGACCTTATGGAGCAGAGAAATATATATATCAGAAGTGACTGACAGCCTGGGAAACAGAAGGCTGTTGTAGAGAAAATGACCAGCATGTTAAATTAAAAAATTTAAATACAATTGCTGTGTGAAAGATGAGTGTTTGGAAGGGCCAACTGTAAGATGGGCCTGCGTGCCCAATGTGTGATCTTTTGAGTTCGTTCTTCATTCCTTATGCTCTGTAAGAAAAAGAAAAAATCCCGTTAGCCTTGAGGTTTTCTTCTTTTTTTTTGCATCATGTTCACGAAATTACAGTGTGCATTTCTGTATCTTCCGCTAAATACATGACAGTGGGAGTGCATCTGCCTGAGAGACAGGTGTAAAAAAAAAAACCTTAATTTTTTTACTCTACCTTTAAGTGAGGACTGTGCCATTTAAAAAAAAAAATACTCACACACACAAAGTGAACAACCAATCATGGCAAACTACACCAGAAAAAAGCTCTCTTATTTAGCCACATGTTTTATCCAGTTTAACTGACAGCGTGAGAAGGAGCAAATTCTTTACTAGTTATCTTTGTTAGGAAAAAAACAAACTCAGAAATGCATATTAGAATGCTGGCCAAATCCACACTGCATTGTTATAGGAGAAAGTACCTTTCATGGTAATTGATTATGTTGTCCAATGTATTCTTCTTCTTCTTCTTCTGCCTTTCTATCCCCCAATGGAGCATAGGCCCTCAACCAACTCACGCCAAGTCGTTCTATCCTTCGCCATTGCATGGAGCTCTCCCCATGTCCTCCCAATCTTTCTAACCTCGTTCTCCAGCTCTCTTCTCCATGTGTTTTTTGGCCTTCCTTTATTCCTATGCCCCTGTGGGTTCCAATGCAAATACATTCTAGTAATGCTGTTCTCCTGTTTTCTCAGTGTTTGCCCTATCCAACGCCAACATCTTTTCCTCACTTCCTGATCCACTGGAGCCTGTTTAGTTCTCTCCCAAAGTTCTACATTAGTTATTCTATCATACCATTTTATTCCCTCTATTCTGCGCAGGCACCAGTTAATGAATGTCTGTAATTTATTAGTAATTGCCTTGGTTGTTCTCCATGTTTCCGCCCCATACAATAGTACTGATGATTTGACATTAGAATTTAAAATTTTTAGTTTAGTATTTCTTTTAATTTCTTTTGACCTCCACAAATTCAGTGTATTAGCTCACGTATATTTATTTCCATTCCTCCTCTGTGAAAATCAATCAGTATGTTTACATTTATATTGTTGGCACTTAACTGTCTTTACGGACAATAGTATTAATTTGCGGCATGGGAATCACAACCCATGGCAGTGGTGAGTGTGACAAGTACAACCTGTCTGTGTTGAGAACAATCTTGAGCAATGATTGAGATTTCAGCACCATTGTTGCCATGATATTTTTTTGACAGGTCTCTTCTCAGTTGGCTCTGTGGCTAAAGTCAGTGCGAACGCTTCGTAAAGCCAGGTTCCCGGGTTTGATCCCAGCTGCGGGCCATGCGCCTTGCGTTGGTTTCAACAGTGGTATCAAGAAAGCCAACCGTCCAGAAAGCAATGGCAAACTACTGGACGCAAATTTGCCTAGAAAAACCACACTACAGCCAGGCGCTATAGGGGTTGGTTCTGCAACGTCCTGTAAAGGATACGCAACTAACCTAACCTTCTCAGATAAGGGTGAAAATATGGGGGTGACTGCAGTCAAGCTAATACAAGGAATTCCAAGGAAATTTGACAAAAAGCTTAACCAAATTTGGAAGCAGAAAAACGTGAACAACGTGTGTTGTTTTGTGCACGTTTTTCTGCTTCCCCATTTGGTTAAGCTTTTTAGTCAAATTTCCCTGAAAACTCTTCTCAGATACTCAACTCTGAACTCTTTCAGTCCCATACTGTTGTTTGTTTAAACTGTTGTGACTGAAGCCGTGTGTGGTTATTTTAAATTAATTAATATTGCATCTGAAGCAGATCACATAATATCCTTACCAGACTGAAACACTAACACTGAACATAATATATTGCTCGGATATGTTGATTTATCAAAGATATAAAACATGTAATGAAGAAGAAACATTTTGTTTAAGCAGTTGTCAACAAACACATAGAGCATTGCCTGTGGCAGAAAGTTAACTCAACAGCAGTAGTTTTATACTTTATCATTATTTCTTACTGATTCCCTCCCCCTCCATGCAAATTTTTTTTTTTTTACAAAAGTTCTGAAAAAGCTTATAGAAACTGCACATATAAACTTATTTTTGTCTGTTTTCAGAGAAGCCAGTTTAACAAATGCCAGTTTGGATTTATATTTGATATTGATGGAGTTATTGTCAGAGGAAGAAAACCACTGCCTACGGCCAGGGAAGCATTTCAGTTACTTGTACAAGACAACCAGTTTAAAGTTCCTACTCTCTTTGTGACAAATGCTGGTAACGCTTTGCGTGCTCAAAAGGCACATCAGCTGTCAGAATGGCTTGAAATAGAGGTATGTTATTGTCGGTTAGTGAATCTCCAGTAATTATTTCCCATCGTTATCATCATGGCTTGAGAGACAGCTAGCTGTACGCAGCGGTTGTGATTGTAACAGACTCAGAAACATGATGAGAAAGGTGGAAAATGGCATGCTTTGTGTGGCAAGCATCACTTCAGAGGTCCCAATCAGTTAGCATGCTTTGGATCTTTTCTCTAGTGTATGCAGATGTGTTGGGGAACAAACAAGCAGATAGATTGGCTGGTGCTGCACCATTGAGTGGTGAATTGATGCATAACAAACTAGATATGGGAATGTCCCGAGTGCTTTGATTTCCGTTCTTAACGCAACTCGATTCAGTCATCCTCGTGTAACAGGTCCTTTTCAGAACATATTTCTATTCAAGGAATGCTAGAAAGTTACTCGGTCTCCTGTCAACTTTCCTACCATGTGAATCTACATGCTTAGGATATCATTGATATCCTATGCCCACTGATATGCTATTCTTCCTTCAAGAAATTATATTCTCCATTACTGTTTTCTCACATAAAAAAAAAAAAGAACTCTGAAGGCATGCTGGGAAAGGAGAAGACAGGGATGCTTCGAGCAGAGTGGCAAGCTTCACTGGGAAGTTCATGGGTAGTGAGCATACTTTGGATCTTTTCTCCAGGCTATGCTAGCGTAGTGGGTAATGAACAGGCAGACAGATTGGCTGGATCTGCACCACTAGGTGATGAATTGATACATGACAAGGCAGATGTGGTCAAGGCCCTTTGGGAACAAGCATTAGAATCAGTAGAGAAACCAGATTATAATGGCCTGGAGAGAATGAGGCACCTGGGTGTAACCAAAGGGTCTGGCCGCCTCACTACACTCAGAGGAAAAGTAAGATGGAAATATAACCAGATTGTGACCGGTACCATCAGTATTGGAACTTCATGCTGGCTGCTGAAGATGAGGATGGAGCATGCATGGGAATGTGCTGTGATGTAAGTTCTTGACTCAACTCACATAGAAAAACAAATATTTACTTTCTATAACAGTTGTTGGCAGCCTTTTAAGGTTGTACTGAAGTAATATTATTTCCCATGTGGGTTCAGGAGCCACATTTGCGGGGGTGGGGGAAGGAATAGATCTGCAGCCCCTTTCCCTTACAAGCATGTTGTGAAAGGAGACTAATCAGGGGTGTTTCCTTTGTTGAAGTTGAAGTGTATCTGCCTGTGAGGCGAGGAATCACCAGTCTGCATACAAAAAAGCCACCTCTGTGAATGGATGTTCATGCAGCACTCCAGTTCTGGAGCAAGACTAAAATCCAGAACTGGACAAACAACCAGAACTTCCTGCTAGATTTTACAGCCGGTGAATGCTAAGATGAAGAAGAAGAAGATATTGCAGTATTAATTAGCATGCCACTGTAGCTTAGTGGCTAGATACTGGCCTTCTTGGTCAAAGGTTGAGAATTCACATCCAGATCAAGACAGATTTTTTTCATAGTCAGCTTAGGGCCATGGGAAGTCAAGATGTCTGCTGTGATGTTTGACCTTATAACTCGTTGAGTACCGATTGGTCTACATAAAACTAGTCTAGCAATATAAGCCCCACCCGTGTGTTACCGAAGCCCTCGCAGGAAGCAAAGAATAGTAGCTCTGCAACGGGCCATGGAAAAGTCAAAGAACTTAAAATAGCTACTAGAAAAGTACAAGCATTTATTGACTGGTGAATACAGTGCAGTCCCAAATAGATAATTACCATTTAAGGAGAATGGCGCTTTCTGGAGTTACTAGGGGATCTGACCAACACTCAGCTCATAAGATTTAGGCAAAACGGATATACAATCAGACAGTTATGGGTGCTATTGGAACAAGAACTTTGCTTGCTGCTGAAGATGGGGATGAAGTGTTTATGGAAATGTCCCACGTCCTGTGGTGTCAATTCCTAATTCTAGATACAAAAAAACTAATCACGTTAGTTCAGCAACCGTGTCAGTTTTTCATTTAAAATAATGTATCTCTTGTCTTCTTAGGTGAGGGAGGAGCAAGTGGTGATGTCACACAGCCCTCTGAGAATGTTCCGCCAGTTCCACGATAAGCATGTTCTGGTAAATGGGCAAGGTCCATTAAAAGAAATAGCCCATAATGTGGGTTTCAGACGAGTGACCACAACAGAGGAGCTTGCCTACGCATTTCCTCATCTGGATAAAATGGATCATCACAGAGGAAAACCTCCGGTAAGACTTGCGTCATATAGTTTGAAGATTTCCTCGTCTGTGGTATATAAGTAAAAAAATAAGTGAAGTAAAGACCCCTTTTTGCGCCTAAGACGCATCAGGTATATGGGAAGAGCGTCCCATATTTTTACAGACTAATCTGCACTGGATGGGTAATGTGGTCAGCATTACGCCGGCCGTCCATACTTCTCCAGGAACGCCATCCTGGTACCCATTTTAGGCTGGGTCAACCTGCGACACCCCATACCATGATAAAAATCCAGGCGGCCAGCAGTGGGTTTTGATTGCGGTACGTTGGAATTCGAGTCGAACTCCCAACGCCTAAGCCACAGACGCTGCTGTAGTATATTAGAATGTATGGACATTATAAATGTATTCGCCATATTTTTGGGTGGGAAGGGGGTTTGGGACTTGATTGCTTTTGAGGTTTGTACAGAATTATATATTTGTTATTTCCCCACATGATCCTAACATACTTTTGCTTTATTTTATGTTGTCATATCCTACTACTTCAGCCAGTATCTTTTTCATATATTGAAACTGTACTGCATGTTTTTATGTTGGCAGCTTTTCATCTGTCCAAACAGTAATGTTATACAATAGTAAAAAAAAAAGTAAAGATCCCTTTACACGCCCTTAGGCGCATCGGGCAAATGGGAAGAGCACCCATATTTTTACAGACCAATCGGCACTCAGTGGGTAATGTGGTCAGCATTACGCCGGCCGTCTTTACTTTCCCAGGACAGCCCATCCTGGTGTTTATAAGGAGGCATGTGAACCATTTGCAGTGGCAATGGGTGATGTAAACAAATATCTTCCATAATAGGTGTTGCCATCACATGTAATTAGTATTTTTGTACTTCATTTCATTCATGTTAGATAGTATGTTTATCATTTTTTTCTTCTTCTTCTTCCTCCTCCTACCTCTCCTCTTCTTCTTCTTCATTATCCCCTCCTTTCCTTCTCGCTCACCCTTTTCATTTTCTGCCGCTGTTCGTTTTTCCTTCTTCTGTTCTGCAACTCCATTAGTTAGAGTGCTTTAATGAAATCCCTCATAATCACTGTCTCCACACTCTCAGCATTGCATGCAAGAAGAGCAAGTGCATAGTCTCTTCAAGTTTTTGATCTTGGCAGTTGAGAGTTTTTATGCCTGCCTCTTTATATACTGTTGGAAAAACAGTGCCCAAACATGGACCCTTACTACAACTAATGAGTTGAAGATCTAACAACAGAGATGAGATGTCTTAGGAGAGCTGCCGGTGTGACAGGAAGAGATCAAATCAGGAATTAAGAAAAAAGAAGACTAGGACTGAAACCAGTCATACAATTAATTAACGAACAACAAATGAGATGGTTTGACCACCCGACGAGAATGCCCTGGTAGCAGCTGCCACAGAGAGCCACACTGAAGAAATATAATGAACACAGAGCATGAGGAAGACCACAAAATATGTGGAGTGACACCATCAGGAGCAACCTAACAGAAATGAATACCGACTTGTACAATGCATTGGAAAAAGCGCAAACGATCCTTGCATCTCCCCCCAACAACTCGCTGAGGTAAATGGTGGAAGAGAAGAAGAAGAAGAAAATGAGAATTGTGTAATTTAAATACACAAGTTTTTGAGTACCAGTCCTCAGAATCTTCCTTACTCAGAACTAAAGCATTCATCATGCATTTATAATTATTCTTTACATGAAACGCTTTTCATAATTCCTTGTTCCCTATCCATCTGCTACAGCAGCTGACTGACCTGTTACATAACCTTTTTCAGTCTCCTGTTTAATGAAAAAATTTTTTGTTTAACTCACTCAGCATATTTATATATAAAATGTACCCACTGCAGTCTTTGCATATATTCTGTGGTGAGGCCGCAAATATTCTGTGGTGAGGCCCTAAATATTATCTGGTGAGGCCCCAAATATTCTGTTTTGAGGCCCTAAATATTCTTTGGTGAGGTCCGATAAATTCTGTTGAAGCCCTAAATATTTCTGTGGTGAGGCCATAAATATTTCTGTGGTGAGGCCATAAATATTTCTGTGGTGAGGCGCTAAATATTAAGTGGTGAGGCCCTAATTATTCTGTGCCGAGGCCTCATATATACTGTTTTGAAGTCCCATATATTTTGTAGTGAGGCCTAATATATACTGTAGTGAGGGCCCCAAATATTCTGTGGTGATGTCCCAAATATTCTGTTGTGAGGCCGATATATTCTGTGGTGAGGCCCCTAATATTCTGTGGTGAGGCCCCTGATATTCTGTGCTGAGGCCCCATATATTCTGTGCTGAAGCCCTATATACTCTGTAGTGACGCTCCAAATATTTTGTGATGAGGCTCCATATATTCTGTGGTGAGACGCCATCTATTCTGTGGTGAGACGCCATCTATTCTGTGGTGAGACACCATCTATTCTGTGGTGAGATGCCATCTATTCTGTGGTGAGACGCCATCTATTCTGTGGTGAGACGCCATCTATTCTGTGGTGAGACACCATCTTTTTTGTGGTGAGACGCCATCTTTTCTGTGGGGAGACGCCATCTATTCTGTGGTGAGACGCCATCTATTCTGTGGTGAGACGCCATCTATTCTGTGGTGAGACGCCATCTTTTCTGTAGGGAGACGCCATCTATTCTGTGGTGAGACGCCATCTATTCTGTGGTGAGACCTCTTTCTCTTCTATAGTGCAACTTTTATTCTGTTTGAAAGCCATGAGATTGGAAAAAAACTATCCACCATGGAAATTGAACCTTAATATTTGAGGATCATGAGAGCTGCAGTGGTGTGGCCCCTAGACGCTCGCCTGTGGATTGCAACATTGTGGGTTTGGGTGTGACGAAGCCAGACATTTTTTTCCCTCCAAAAACTGACCCTGGCTCTGAGGTTGACCAAGCCTTGAGTGGGCGCCAGGAGCAGTCCTGGGATGTAAAGGCAGCCAGCATGATGCTAACCGCATCACCCACTCAGTGCCAGTGGGTCTATAAAATATAGGTTTATATGCCCAATACGCCAGAAGATGTGGAAAAGGGTCATCTACTGTACTTATTTTTGGTGTGTAACTTGAGGATCATGAAATTGTTATACACATTCATTAACCTGTAAGCCACGGAAACACGTTTATTATCTGAGAGAAAACTTTTGCTTAAGATATAATATAACTCTGTCGCCCAGAGAAGCCACAAAATAGACACATTTTTGGCTGGGTCCAAATCTCCATAAAAGTCACTTTGCTAATTGCAATACTGACATGTCCTGGAGGAGCTTAGTTATTGCCATTGATTGTGTTTGCACCTGTGAAGCATTCAGGGGGTCAGGATATCAATATATTTACTTAAAACAGAATTTAGAGAGGGTTTTCTTATGAACCAAGTGGCTTTTATAAAGCCATTTTGACATCATAATTTTCCAGTAGCATCATTGATAGAAATCACATGGTCGCATGATAGATATTTTCTTAGGCCCACTTCGTTTGTGTTTATTGATTAGTTCCTTTATATATTTACATTTTTTTTTTAAATTTAGATAAATATATTGTTTAAAAAATGTATAAATGACCTTTGTCAGATGTTTTTTTTTCTCTTTTTAAGGGTGGGGGAAGAGGGTCCCCATAGGATCCTGATATTTTTAGGCAGTTTCCAAGGTGACAGGGTTAAACAATCAATCTGGCATTAAGAGGGTCAAATAAAAAGGCAGGTTGTAATGTAAGATGTGTCTGTTGCTGTATTTTCTATCCCTTCATAATATTTTGTCATTAAATTTTTCTGTAAACATTAATGATACATGTTTTCTTCTTCTTCAATCCTTCTGTCAGAAAACTTATATCAGGAGGCCAGTAGCCTTTATGAAAGCTATCGTGCAATCCATATCTTCTCGTGTATCATACAGCTTTGTCTTCATTGTGGTTGGGACAGGCCAGATTGCGTCTCTGTTGTCAGCATACAGTTGACAGTGTTGGAGCACATGCTCAGCATTTTCGGGTACATGTTGATAGTTGACAACTCTTAGAACTGCGGCTCTCCGGGGGTGAGGTGGTTAACTGTTTTAGTATCAAACAATGTTCTGTATGTTTCTTTGTCATTCCAAAGATGATATAAATTTAAGTGCTGCCTTCTATCACAGTCAGTCATTATATTATCTCTTTGTGAATGGATATTAACCATTTCTGACCCGCATTACCTCTTTTAAATTTATTCATATGTATATGAATAAAAGGGGTTAAAGTAAGAGTTACTTAGGATTGAAAAAGTTCGTGCTTTGAAGATTGTGGGTTGGATTTGAGACTCTGCCATCCAGTTTTACCAGTTCAGTGTTTTGAATCTTCCTGGGAGATGTTACTGGAGCTATGAAATTAATGCTTTATGCAGTTCTGTCGTGGTCGCCCTGCGGAGAGAGACAAGTTATATGGGAGAAAACCTGGCACAGTGAAGTCCCATCTGTCACTTCTAAATGTCATTTAAAATCCTAGAACATGTCATTTATTGTCAGTGGGAATGATCAAGTTGTGTTTTTTTGTTTTCAGCCATGCTCTTTTGAGGAATTCTTTCCAAGAATAGAAGGTGTGTACTGTAGCTGTTGTGTCTTACTTAGAACAAGTAGTGATGACTGTATTATGTATGCACATTTTACAATAATTATTTGTTGCTGTTGTATTTAACTCTTAGAGTCCCAAGTAACATGTCATACGTTCATATGTTTCTACCTAGAAGCCTAGTGAACGCAAGTTGCGCTGATTGTACGTCTTTCTTGACTACACCTTGGACCTCCGATGCTAAACTCTCTGGGACTTATTGAGTTAAATAAATCAAGTAGTGGTTACTAAAATATGTAAGGATATTTCCAGCTGTCATTAGGTGATCATAATTAGAAACATTAGTTGATGCTGAGGTTACAGACAGTGCAAGACCAGTCTTAGTAACAAGAAAACTAAACAATTGATGATGGTAGAAGTACATAATGACATAACACTGAAGTATGCAATGACATATAAATTTAACTAGGAAATATGTAATGGCATAATAAATAGAGCCCTGTACTGGTTGGAGTAAAAAAAAATCCTGCAGCTTCTTGTGGGTTAAACCTGACCTCTTTCTCCAGGTGGAGACACCTCCTGGGGAGGTCTGTGTTATTACTTTTGTAATTTGCTATTCTGACAATGTGAGTGCAGTGCCATACACACATTTCGGCTTTCCTTTAAATAACGGTCGCTAGCTGGAAGGCGACGTCCGCTTAGTCGTAGTTCACTCCCTTGGCTGCAGTGCAAATACGGAGCGGACAAGTCACGAATCAAAAAACAAACTGAGGTCGATATACCTGTTAGAGCTAGACCACGCGCTGCGACTGACAGTAGTGACTGCAGTCTTGCGACGCGAGACTCTCGTAGAGCACGCGCTGCGACTCACACTAGCGACCGGGTTCTTCCGACGCATGACTTAGTGACCGTAGATGTGAGACCTGCGTATCTGTATCTCGTAATGAGCGATAAGCTTCCGTCGTGTCCGTGATGTGTCACCCTAACCCTAACCCTACTCCAAACCCTAACCCTACCCCAAAACCTAACCCTAACCCTACCCCAAATCCTAACCCAAACCCTAAGCCTAACCCTAGGATGACAGGTAACTATATCATTTGTTTCGTTCCCTCTTTACCACTCTGTATTTGCACTGCAGCCAAGGGAGTGAACTCCGACTAAGTGACCGTCGCCTTCCAGCTAGCGACCGTTATTTAAAGGAGAGCCCACATTTCTTCTCATGTAAGTGTAGCGGACAAGGAAGCTAGAGAGTCAAGTTAAAAAGATGGGGAGGATATGGGGAGAGCTGCATGCGATAGCGAAGGATAGAACAACTTGGCGTGAGTTGGTTGAGGGCCTATGCTCCATTGGGTTGTTAGAAAGGCAGAAGAAGAAGAAGTGTAATGTGGTACATAAAGACAATTAGTAAGTAAATAGAGTTGCTATATTTTTGTTATCTGTCCCTTTCCCCTCATTCTCACCCGACTATTGGTAACCCCTGTTTCCCACACTTCACTCCTACTGATCAGATTTCACTCATCTCCTGGTTTTGTCTGTAGTAGAGATGCCCGTTTTATTTATTTTTCCCCCGCAGAATAGACCTACTGTAATTCAAACCCTCCCCCACCCCATTTTTCCTCCAAACAGCATGTAAAACTCATAGGGGTGATTTTTTTCAAAGTCAGAATGCACCTGCCTGAGAAATTGTTAGCCAACAGTCTGCATACAAATACACCAGATATGTAAGATGGATGTGCACGCAAACCTTAGGTTCTCGAGCAGGATTGAAATCCAGAAGAGGATATACAATCCGAAGTTTCTGCGGGATTTACAGCTGGTGAACGTAAAGAAGATTTCTTTTCAAAAATTTGCCGAGAGCCAGTTATGTATCACATACATAATGTCATTTATTATTATTATTATTATTTTTTTGTTATACTTGTTTTACACATTGTTTGAATACAATAATGTAGTCATTTTTGTTTTGCGGCAGCATCTTTTGTTTATTTATTGTTAAATCATTCTGTAAAGCTAACATATAACGTATGTTTCCCCTATCGTTTTGGTACTTCTACTTGCACTAATCAAGCCTTAGATTATGCTTTCTGTTCTCTACGCCAGCTGTGATTCTATTTGGAGAGCCTGTCCGGTGGGAAACCCCTCTGCAGTTGATTATAGATGTGCTGCTGACCAATGGTCATCCGTCAGATGACTTGGTGGATATACCTTATCCACATATACCTGTCCTGGCATGCAACATGGATCTTCTGTGGATGTCAGAACACAAATTGCCTAGGTCAGTCGTGTGTTTCTGTGTACAGTGGTTCATTGTGATGGGTCAGTCATCATAATTGTAGCTTGTCAGTTGTCCAAGAACAACTAGAAGAACATAATGGGCTGTGCAGCTAGAAAACTTTCATCATGATGCAAATAATATGCTGATACAACTACATTTCGTTTTTTGTTTTAAATTACAGAAGTCGTCACTTATTTGAAGTGTGCATCCTTGAGATATCTAAAACCCCAGACATAAACATTTCAATTCCTGACTTCATGTCGTCATGGCCATCTTAAACCACATACAGAATGGTCTTGGTCCTTTTCTAACTAGTTGTAATGGCCATCTTGAACTACAGACTTAACAGTTTTGATGTTTTTCTTACTAGTTGTAATTGCCATCTTGAACTACAGACTTAACAGTTTTGATGTTTTTCTTACTAGTCGTAATGGCCATCTTGAACTACAGACATAACAGTTTTGATCCTTTTCCAACTAGTCAGAATGGCCACATAAAACTACAGACATAACAGTTTTGATCCTTTTCTAAATAGTTGTAATGGCCATCTGGAACTACAGACATAACAGTTTTGATGTTTTTCTTACTAATTGTAATTGCCATCTGGAACTACAGACATAAAACTACATACAGTCTTGATGTTTTTCTTACTAGTCGTAATGGCCATCTTGAATTACAGACATAACAGTCTTTTCTAAATAGTTATATTTGTCATCTTAAACTACAGACATAAGAATTGTGATTCCTGACTTCTAATTTCTTGTAATGGCCAACTTAATCAACACATGACAGTCTTGATCCTTTTCTAAGCAGTCGTAATGGCCATCTTAACCTAAAGACATAACATAGCACAAACTCCACAGCTCCAGCGACAGTCCTAAGAATCTCTGTTAAAGAATAGCATTGTTCAACCGAACAGTGCAACTGTGAAATGAACCCACAACCTTCAGAGTGTGAGGCAAAATGCTTGACCACTTAACACCGAACCCCCCCCCCCCCTCCCTCAGAAAGACTTAGAAAACTTTGAACTCATGGAATCAATGACACAAACTGAAATTGAGCTTATAACCTTAAGACTGGGTATTACTAAACAGCCTGACCACTTCATCTCGGAGGGACCCTCCCCCACCCACCCCATTTTTTAATTTTTTTTTTTTAGCAGGCCAAATACATAGCACAGCATGTCACTGTGGCAATAGGTTCCATATGTTTCACCTAGCCTTTGATTGTGGTCATGCAATAACAAAAGCATGAAAAAGGTTAGTTGCGTATCCTTTACAGGATGTTGCAGAACCAACTCAACAGCCCCTGGCTGTTGTGTGGTTTTTCTAGACAAATTTATGACCATTAGTTTGCCATTTCTTTCTGGACGGTCGGCTTTCTTGATACCACTGTCGAAACCAACGCAAGGCGCATGGCCCGCAGCTGGGATCGAACCCGGCATCCCAGCATTACGAAGCGTTTGCATCGACTTAGCCACAGAGCCAACTAACAAAAGCATAGCTTCCAGAATTCAAGACAGGTGAAGACAGAAGAGAAATGTCTAGACAACGGCTTGTATCAACAGTTATATCACACAGATAAGATGGTGATTTATGTACTGATCACATGCCCAAGAGAAGGAAACACAGAAACAGCAGACAGGCACTTAAATAGGAAACAAATGGATTGAAGAGATCCACACACACACACACACAAAAACAACCACAAATGATGAACATTGATGAGAAAGGTCAAAGGTGCCTGACTCAGATAATCATATTAAAACAATTGCACCGGATTGAACTAAACGGAAGAATAGACTACGAGCCATACATGACTTATAACAGCACAAACGGATGATGATGATGAATTACCAGAATGTGGCTGCTGGAGATGACACCTACAACACCCTGAGATCAATAGTATGCAAAATTGTCTGGAACTAGAACACAAATCAGTGTGCTGTCTGAAAATCACACAGAGAAAAGTGGGAAATATATTAGCCGTTATGTTTTTCAATGTTATCTTTGTCTGTTGCTCTTGAGCTTATGAGATGCTGTCAGTTTTATATATATATATATTTGTTGCTGTTGTTGTTTTGTTTTGTTATGTTTGCACAGCAACTAATGTGTTGTTTCTTAACTTGATGCGACAGTGAAGAAATGAAAGCCTTACACCACATTGCTTTCATAAGTATATTGTTTTCACTGCTTCTGTTTTATCTGTCACTATTCTTGATCTGCTCTGCCTCCTGCACTACTTTCTTCCAAGTGAATCATTGTTTAATGCTCATTTTCAGATTAGGGCATGGTTGTTTTATGAATGCTTTGGAGAGTCTCTACCAGGTTAGTGTACTTTTTAAACAATTTGTTATCCATTCACAACTATGTCAGTTTATCTGTTCACACTTGTGTCAGATTATTTATTCATGCCAATATGGAATTATCAGTTCACACAGTTGCCAAATTACCTGTCCACATCAGTATTATCTGTTCATGCCAGTATAAGATTATCTGTCAGATTAAATGTTTACATCAGTATTATTTATTCATACCAGTATCAGATTATTTGTTCACACCAGTATCAGATTATTTGTTCACACTAGTATCAGATTATTTATTCATACCAGTATCAGATTATTTGTTCACACCAGTATCAGACTATCTGTTTGCAGTTGTATCAGATTATTTGTTCCCACCATTATCAAATTAACGGTTCAGATTAGTGTTATTTATTCATACCAATATGAGTTTATCTATTCCTGTGATAATGTAGTGGTTAGTCACTGGCTTATCAGCATGGTCGTCCAAGTTCAGTGTCCAAGTTCTTCCATAGGGAGAGCAGGACCTTTTTCAACACCTTCAGGTTTACTGGGCATATAGTGTTGGACCTATATTTTATACACTAATTGGCACTCATAGGGTGATCACGCCAGCTGCCTTTACTTCCCAGAACCTGTTACCCATTTAAGGCTGGGTCGACCTGGCAGCCAAGGTCTTTCTTCTTCTGTCTTTCTATCCCCCAATGGAGCATAGGCCCTCAACCAACTCACGCCAAGTCGATCTATCCTTCGCCATTGCATGGAGCTCTCCCCATGTCCTTCCCTATCTTTCTAACTTCATTCTCCAGCTGTCTTCTCCATGTGTTTTTTTGGCCTTCCTTTATTCCTATGTCCCTGTGGGTTCCAATGCAAAGACATTCTAGTTATGCTGTTCTCCTGTTTTTTTTAGTGTAGGTCCTATCCAACGCCAGCGTCTTTTCCTCACCTCTTGGTCCACTGGAGCCTGTTTAGTTCTCTCCCAAAGTTCTACATTAGTTATTCTATCATACCATTTAATTCCCTCTATTCTGCGCAGGCACCAGTTAATGACCGCCAAGGTAATTTTGTTAAAAAAGTCGAGCTCCATTAGAATTTAAACCCACTACTTTAAGATCTGCAGGTGGTGATCTGGCTGCTACACCAGGGAGGTTCTCAGTATTCCATAGAGCGTACGGAATGAGTTGACTGAGTATGAATATCAGATAATTTCCTTGAAAGAAATTGTGATAGAGAAATGAGCTCAGTTCACTTTACTATTTCAGGACCTATCAGATATTTTAAGGCTTGCATTTGTTGGGAGGCGCCATTTCTAAAGAATTAACTTTACAGTTTTTATTCAACACTTGAAAATGTATTTTGTGTCTTTCTGCAGAAAATCACCGGCAAGGAGTTGAAATACACAGCCTTGATAGGAAAACCCAGTGAAATAACGTACCACCACGCAGATTACTTGCTGACTCAGCAGGCTAAACTCATGGGTGTCGACCAAATAGAAACTATATATTGCATAGGGTAAGACAATTTCATTACTAGTTTTTCCAGTCCTCTTGTTGGCTCAGCTGGCTAAACTCATGGTTGTCAACCATATAGAAACTATATGTTGTATCATCATCATGTAGCAGGTTCTTTGCAGAACGTCGCTCTCATCGCAGTCTGCCTAAAAGAAACTCGGTCTCTCGCCAACTCCCTCACCTCATGCACTTTCATACTGAAGGAGTCACTTACATCCTGTAACCATCTTCATGTCACTCGGCGTCTGCCCCTCCTTCTTGGTACCATGCCTTCTGCTATAATTTTGTCCAGTCCGTCGTGGCGCTTGATATGACCAAAATATTTAGGCTTCCGTGACAGGATGCTGTTTATTAGCTAATCTTCCTTGATGTTCAGATCTTTCTTGTATAGCAGATCTTATTGTATAGCAGGACTATTGAGCTTAGTTTACTCTGGGCCAAAATGTTGAAAATTTGGATTGTCACGGACCAGAGACCTGAGCCCCAGCTTTGAATGATCATATTAACACAGTACAACTGGCAGTGATCCACAGGCCACTTGCTAGGCCTCCCCTGGCCACTTGCTAGGCCTCCCCTGACCACTTGCTAGACCTCCCCTGGCCACTTGCTAGACATCCCCTAGCCACTTGCTAGGCCTCCCCTGGCCACTTGCCGCCTCCCCTGGCCACTTGCTAGGCCTCCCCTGACCAATTGCTAGACCTCCCCTGGCCACTTGCTAGGCCTCCCCTGGCCACTTGCTAGGCCTTCCCTGGTCACTTGCTAGGCCTCCCCTGGCCACTTGCTACGCCTCCCCTAGCCACTTGCTAGGCCGTGCCATTTGCTACGCCTCCCCTAGCCACTTGCTAGGCCTCCCATGGCCACTTGCTAGGCCTCCCCTGGCCACTTGCTATGCCTCCCCTGGCCACTTGCTACGCCTCCCCTAGCCACTTGCTAGGCCTCCCATGGCCACTTGCTAGGCCTCCCCTGGCCACTTGCTAGGCCTCCCCTGGCCACTTGCCGCCTCCCCTGGCCACTGGCTAGGCCTCCCCTGGCCACTTGCCGCCTCCCCTGGCCACTTGCTAGGCCTTCCCTGGCCACTTGCTAGGCCTCCCCTGGCCACTTGCTAGGCCTCCCCTGGCCACTTGCTACGCCTCCCCTGGCCACTTGCCGCCTCCCCTGGCCATTTGCTAGACCTCCCCTGGCCACTTGCTAGACCTCCCCTGGCCACTTGCTAGGCCTCCCCTGACCACTTGCTAGGCCTCCCCTGACCACTTGCTAGACCTTCCCTGGCCATTTGCTAGACTTCCCCTGGCCACTTGCTAGACCTCCCCTGGCCATTTGCTAGACCTCCCCTGGCCACTTGCTAGACCTCCCCTAGCCACTTGCTAGGCCTCCCCTGGCCACTTGCTAGGCCTCCCCTAGCCACTTGCTACGCCTCCCCTGGCCACTTGCTAGGCCTCCCCTGGCCACTTGCTACGCCTCCCCTGGCCACTTACTGCCTCCCCTGGCCACTTGCTACGCCTCCCCTGGCCACTTGCCGCCTCCCCTGCCACTTGCTAGGCCTTCCCCGGCCACTTACTAGGCCTCCCCTGGCCACTTGCTAGGCCTCCCCTGGCCACTTGCTAGGCCTCCCCTGGCCACTTGCTAGGCCTCCCCTGGTCACTTGCTAGGCCTCCCCTGGCCACTTGCTACGCCTCCCCTGGCCACTTACCGCCTCCCCTGGCCACTTGCTACGCCTCCCCTGGCCACTTGTCGCCTCCCCTGGCCACTTGCTAGGCCTCCCCTGACCACTTGCTAGGCCTCCCCTGGCCACTTGCTAGGCCTCCCCTGGCCACTTGTTAGGCCTCCCCTGGCCACTTGCTAGGCCTCCCCTGGCCACTTGCTAGGCCTTCCCTGGTCACTTGCTACGCCTCCCCTAGCCACTTGCCACCTCCCCTGGCCACTTGCTAGGCCTCCCCTGGCCACTTGCTAGGCCTCCCATGGCCACTTGCTAGGCCTCCCATGGCCACTTGCTAGGCCTCCCCTGACCACTTGCTAGACCTCCCCTGGCCATTTGCTAGACCTCCCCTGGCCACTTGCTAGGCCTCCCCTAGCCACTTGCTAGGCCTCCCCTGGCCACTTGCTAGACCTCCCCTGGCCACTTGCTAGACTTCCCCTGGCCACTTGCTAGACCTCCCCTAGCCACTTGCTAGACCTCCCCTAGCCACTTGCTAGGCATCCCCTGGCCACTTGCTAGGCCTCCCCTGGCCACTTGCTACGCCTCCCCTGGCCACTTGCTACGCCTTCCCTGGCCACTTGCTACGCCTCCCCTAGCCACCTGCTAGGCCTCTCATGGCCACTTGCTACGCCTCCCCTGGCCACTTACTGCCTCCCCTGGCCACTTGCTACGCCTCCCCTGGCCACTTGCTACGCCTCCCCTGGCCACTTACCGCCTCCCCTGGCCACTTGCTACGCCTCCCCTGGCCACTTGCCGCCTACCCTGGCCACTTGCTAGGCCTTCCCTGGCCACTTGCTAGGCCTCCCCTGGCCACTTGCTAGGTCTCCCCTGGCCACTTGCTAGGCCTTCCCTGGTCACTTGCTAGGCCTTCCCTGGTCACTTGCTAGGCCTCCCCTGGCCACTTGCTACGCCTCCCCTAGCCACTTGCCGCCTCCCCTGGCCACTTGCTAGGCCGTGCCATTTGCTACGCCTCCCCTAGCCACTTGCTAGGCCTCCCATGGCCACTTGCTAGGCGTCCCCTGGCCACTTGCTATGCCTCCCCTGGCCACTTGCTACGCTTCCCCTAGCCACTTGCTAGGCCTCCCATGGCCACTTGCTAGGCCTCCCCTGGCCACTTGCTAGGCCTCCCCTGGCCACTTGCTAGGCCTCCCCTGGCCACTTGCCGCCTCCCCTGGCCACTGGCTAGGCCTCCCCTGGCCACTTGCTACGCCTTCCCTGGCCACTTGCAACGCCTCCCCTGGCCACTTGCTAGTCCTCCCCTGGCCACTTGCTACACCTCCCCTGGCCACTTGCTAGTCCTCCTCTGGCCACTTGCTACGCCTCCCCTGGCCACTTGCTACACCTTCCCTGGCCACTTGCTAGGCCTCCCCTGGCCGCTAGTTGAATAGACCTGCTGTAGAGGGTAAGACAGTTTCATTGCTTGTTTTTCCATTCCACTGGTTGGCAACCACACTGGAACCCACACTGAAAAAATATACGAAACATAACCCCACCCATGTTAGCCTGCAGGTTACTCTGTAACTGTCGGGTGCTCTAAAAAAAACAAGTTTCTTGTAGGTACACAGGCTCTGCTGAATTTTCTCCCCTCTTATTCCATCCGAAAAGTGGCTCCTTGAGTCATGGGTGGCAGTTTTCCCCTGTGGGTTCCGTAGCCCCAAAGGGGTGGGAAAGACCAGACACACATATCAACATATCCTAACAGACATATCATAAAAGTCTACTGATTAGAGCGATTTCCTCCGAAGTCAGACTTTGTCTGCCTAAGGAGAATGGAGCCAACAGCCTGCATACAAATAACCCAAAATCACAGAATGGATGTGTAGTCAAATACAAGTTCTCGAACAAGACCAAAGCTCAAAAGTGGATGAACAACCAGAATTCTCTACCAGAGTTTATAGCTGTTGAATGCTCAGAAATTGGGTAGTAGTCTTTCAGGCTAATTTTTTACAGAATATTATACAGACTGCTTAAAGCGATCATGGATGTGGTGAATTTCTGTTATAAAGAACAATTTATTCATCCCTGGCAGTTACCATAGGCTTGAACTCTTATCTAGGTTAAAAAAAAAAATTCTGCTAAGAACTGTTTCTTGAGTCCCTAGTGAGTTTTTATCAGATCTGCACTGTACTTTAAGAGACTTTTTTCTCATTTCGGACTTTCGTCTTCTCTTGTATATTTCTAATTGTTATTTCTTTATTTTCTAATTCTTTACAAATTTAATGTTCACTAAAAAAGATTATTCAGAATATCAGTTGTCTCTTTGCTTGTTAACATTTAATGACATTGTTAACATCTTTTATTCTTCTGTGACAACTTATTATACATATTGTTAACATCTTTTATTCTTCTGTGACAACTTATTATACACATTGTTAACATCTTTTATTCTTCTGTGATAACTTATTATACATATTGTTAACATCTTTTATTCTTCTGTGACAACTTATTATACATATTGTTAACATCTTTTATTCTTCTGTGACAACTTATTATACATATTATGTTTTGCAGTGATAATCCAGAAACAGACATCTACGGGGGTAATCTATATAACAGATACTTGCAAAGGAGAAAGCATATAAAAGGGCAAAAATTAGACAAGAAAGTTCGTGTGGCTGGCCATCTTAAGACAGATTCAGACTTCCTTGATGAAGACAGTGATGATGATATCCCAGAAGATACTCAGATGTTTCAACGTGACTCTGGTGCCAATTTGCACGTGATAAGATCTTTAGAAGAGGACAGTTTCGGCGTGGAGAAAGCATCCTGCTGTGAGAGCATCCTTGTTTGCACGGGTGTCTTTAAAACAACAACAGACTTTGTGAGTTTTGCCGGCAATCGGTTGAGTTCGCACAACCACAGGGACTTTGTGATAGACCCGACGCTAACCACACCCAATCATGTGGTCCCGAATGTGCTGGAAGCTGTGAAACTGGTTTTTGAGAAAGAAGAGTTCTCTTAACGATACTTTTCGTTCTAGGTGTATCACTGCCAGATTGGGTTGTTTGAAAATGTGTGTGGTTTTTAATTTATGTTTAAGTGATCAGTTTGAGAATTCCTCTGTTTAATTTTTGTTTGTTTATTTTTGTTTCTTTGTCTCTGTCAGTACCAAATATGCATAATGGTGTCACTAAGATAATGGAGGGGGTTTCAAAATGGCTGCAGTCAACTCTGCGGTCACTATTTTGTATGCATGACGTGGCCGTAAACAGTTTCATAGAAGTCATGTCGCTTTGAAACTCAAAACTCTACTCATATCAAGAAAAGATATAAAACCGAACAAAAAGTATATTAGCAAGCTTCACAATTTAACAAATACAAACAAAAGGTAAACGTTGCGGCTATCAAACAATACTACACAGATACACAAAATCACTTAGGTGGTGTCTCGAAGCAGCCGGGTCAATGGTGTCTCAGCAGACTGCCTTCACGTGTCGGCTGGGGGGATAAATACTCCCTGTGGAGTACCAGGACCATAACTAGGGGGTTATAGATAAAACTGTGAGGGCAGTTCAATTCCCTGGAAGTTTAAATTAAACTGTGTTGGCAGTTCAGTCCAGAGGGTGCTAAAGTCCCCAGAGTATATATAAAGCGATTCTCAAGAGACTTGCGGACTCTGTCGCTGGAGTGGCTGGATTTAATGGTTGTCACCTCCATGTCGAGGACACCTTGGTGATCCTGGGAATTGACGTGCAACGGTACTGGTTTCAGAGCACCATTTTGCACATCCAAAAGATGTCTGAACCTGTCAGCCAGCCGTAGACCTGTTTCACCAATGTATTTCATGCCACATCTTTTGCATTTGATGGCATAAATAACATTGCAGACTTGCTGAACTGACAGGCACACATCACCAGACTGGACCTTCATTCATCAGTGAATTTCTTTGGGTTTCACCCCTTTACCTATAAAAAAAAAATGGATAACAGAATGCTCCTCTTTAGTGCATGTCAAAATTTGGGGCAGCCATCTCTAAACTGTCACTATGACATCAGTGTGTTTATCAACACCGTACTGTCACATGTTTAACAGTCTTGACATCCTTAACAACAATTTTGACAGGTTACCAGACACATGTGCATGGTTATTGAAATTTCTGTCACTCTTTTAAGGTTTTCATTTGAAGCCCCTTGTACCTAACAAATGTTCAAAAAAATATATACATAATACTGGGAGCCTATGATGCATTGTTAGAGCATAAAGAGTTATTAAATCATCTAGCCAGATTTCTAAAGTATGTTCAGACCACAAGTAAAAAAAAAAAAATTTTACCACATCCCCATGCTAGGCTAGCTACAGCTGAAGTCTGACGCGTCGGCTGAAAGGCACAAATATCACAACCATGCTGTTAACGGGCACAACGCACTGACATCTTCAGATGCACGCAGAAGAAGAAGACGGTAGTATTGACGGGCAAATGAAACTGGGCTAGCTGCAGTGAAGATTTGAAGGCTTATAAACATAAGGGGAAGCTCGAAGTTTAGAAGTCATGTTTATAAATAGGAGATGTGGATTGCAACAATAATCCTTCTTAAGCAACAACAATTTTAAAAAAGGGGGAGAGTGGTGGCACAGATATGGAAGTATGTTCATTATATTATTTCCTAATGTACTTTTATCATTTCTGTATGTATAATTGTTTATATTTTTGTTCAAGAATGAAGTGAAAAAGATCGGGGAGGGGGACATAGTAGCCAAAATATGAAGACAGCATTGATCTGGTTAAAGGCCTGTGGTCCACTGGGGGATAAATGACAGAAGAAGAAGAAGATGACATGTTGGTGGGGCAATTTAAAAAAAAAATTATTATGGCATGATTATGTTTATGTCAAGTTGCTCTTCTACACTTCTTGTTTTCCTTATTTTTCATCATGTTGTCATGCACACTTGTTTTAACCATGTTTTTTTTGGTTTGTTTGTCGTGTAATAGCAGTTTGGCTGTAAAAAGTATGCATGAAAGTGTGATATGGTAATTGTCACTGGTAACCTTTACTGCTGCGGTTGATATTTCTCATGGTTTTTGTAGTAAAGTGTTACTAATGTTTACTTATGTGGTCTCTATGAAGTGTCTGGATGTTGTTTTGGTTTGAATTCTGTGGTAAATTTGTTCATTATATATATATATATATGTATATGTGTAAACAGGATTTCAGCTGGGAAGCCATACATAATAACATGCAACAAGTTGATCCTGTAAAATACGTAAGCACTGCTACATGCACAAAGCCACAGTGGTGCAGTGGTTAGATGCTTGGCTGCCAGCCCAAAAGGTCTTAGGTTTCAGTCCACATTGAGGCACATTTGTGTAATTAATCATGGCTGCTGTGCCAACCCAGCATAAAATGGGTAACGGGATATGTCTAAGGAAGTAAAGACAGCAACTTAATGTTGACTTCAACCCCCCACTGCGTGGCTGTTTGGTACGAGTATGCTTCAAATGAAAACCCTAAAAGTGCCATGGAAATACAATAAACATGCCTTGTTCTTGTAACCTGTCAGTATTGTTCTGAAGGAGGAAACTGATAACAGAACTCTACTTCTTGTTGGTGCATGCCAAAAGTGGGACATCCATCTTTTAACTATCATTGTGACATCCTCGTGTTCATCTGCACAGTGATGTGGTATGCTTAACACTCTTGACATCCTTTAATAACAATATCGACAGGTTACAAAACAATGGCATGGTTATTATAATTTCTATCCCACTTGTAAGGTTTTTATCTGAAGCTCCTTGTATATAAAAACTAAGGGTGATGTGTTGGTGCCTGAAAGTGGTCGTCTACTGCAGGGTCTGCCTGTGTGTTTCCACGACCCACAAGGAAAGAAGAGAATAACAACACTGTACATGTTGTTATGATACTGGCTTTTCATCCTGTAGAAAAGAAGCTGCCAAATCCAGTCAAGCAGGAACAAGTATATAAACAGATTTGTGTTCATTGACCAAGAGTCTGTGCTTCACTGAGAATTCTTCTTTTTCTCAGCATTCACCGGCTGTAAACTCTGGTAGAAAGTTCTGGTTGTTCATCCACTTCTGAACTTTGGTCTTGTTCCAGAACTTGAGTTTTGCCTGTGCATTCATTTTTTTAAAGATCTGGCTTATTTGTATGCAGACTGATTCCTCACTTGTCAGGCAGATGCACTCTGACTTTGAAGGAAACCTCCAGTTTGTTGCCTTTTACGAGATGCTTTTTAGAGGACAGTAGGCCTGTTCTTGTTTATTTAGAACTTAACATAGATATATTTGGAATTGAGAGGCAGACAAAGAGACTAGGATATATATATTTTCTGTTACTGTACATAGATAATTTTGTGTGTGACTGTTCAAGTTATAATGCTTATCTTGTTAACAGTTCAGTTATCCTTAATAACGCATAACATTACATTTGAAATACGGTTCTGTTCGACATAATACAAAGCATAGATGAGTAGTAGATGATTGTGAAATAATTAGAAATGCATAACTAAAACGTTTTAATTTTGGCAGTATTTTCCTTACATTATCTACTTAGCATTATTTCCTTTCTTACACAGTATGTCTATGCACCTATCAGTATCATTTTCAATGACATGGCCTAATGTTAAGTTTTTATTTTTTATTTTTAAGAACAGCATTATATGATTTTTTTTTTTAATCGTTTTGATTTGGAAAATGTATTTCCTATGTTTGTTATATAATATTTGAGTTTGAGTTCAAAGTTCTTGTACACAGATCTGTTTTAAAGATCTGTATTTTAACATATTATTTGCAAATTATTCATGTGAATTTTGTGATTTGTTTTAGAACCTACTTCTGAGGAATATTGATTAACTATATCTATTACACAAGCGTTGCTTGTTATTAGTCATGTTATTTTACTGCAAAATACAAACAGTTTTGTGTCATTTGTTTAAAACACTGTGCTTGCTTTCAGGGTCTTTGTAATTGCTTTCTTTTTAGTTATTTTTTTTAAAGGCATTTTAACTGATTTTAAATGAAGACACAAACAGTAAATCCCACAATACTGAAATACACAGATCATATTGTCTTTTGTTAACTGTACCTTTCCCCACGGAATTCTAAGATTAACCATGTAATACTTTTGTTACATGACGGAAGATTGTCTCACCTGATAGCCACCGCCTTGGCTAGTTTTAGTAGATGCCTGTGCATTGTGAATTTCAGTTATAAGGATTCATTCTTATGCTTTATTTTATGTTGTAAATTCTACATGAATGCACCTGGGCAGATACAGCAGTAAGTGTGAGGCAATAAACTGTGCAGTATCATGTTGTGTCTTCATTGTTTACATTCACAGTGGGAAAATATTGTTTTATTCTCTATGCTGATTCAAAACAGTCATGCTGATACATTAACGGCCCTGTCCATATATTAACAGTCATGTTAATACATTAACGGTTATGTTGATACAATAACAGTCATGTTAATACATTACTGGTCAAGTTTATGCATTAACAGTTATGTTAATACATTACCGGTCATGTTAATACATTAGCAGTCATGTTAATACATTACCGATCATGTTCATACTAGGGCTGTACCGAATAGTGATTTTCACTATTCGGCCGAATTCGAATAGCGGGACCACCTATTCAGCCGAATATGAATACGAATAGTGTATCATCATCGTCAGGTGCTTTGCCGACTGGCGTGGGCGATTATACCTCGCCACAATCTGCGATCTCCTTGAGCATGTATCAGCTCGAGTGCCGACACACCTCCATGCCATGCAACAAGACTGTCAAGCATCTTCTCTAGTGTCTTCCTCTTTTCCTCCTTCCACAGATCTTTCCAGTGGTCACCACATGTTCCATTTCCTTCTTCTCATAACATGGCCGAAAAAGGATGACTGTCTCCTTCTGATGTCTGTGATTAGTTGTCTTCAGGCTCCCAAATCTTTTAAAACCTCTTGGTTGCCTTTTTTTTGGCTGTACAAGATATTTTAAGCATTGTTCTGTAAAACC